TAATTGAATGTCGAAATCGTATGATGGTCAAAATAATTAGGCTTTAACAAAAAAGGATTGTAAGGTAATTCAGGCTATTACAAAGAATAGAAAGTGGTAGAGGTGTTAGAGGGACGTCAACACAAGCTTGGTTGTAGTTCAGGAATATTAGACATTCACTACTATGCAGCTGACTTGGAAACTGTTGTAGCAGAGTTTCCTGACCTGTTAACTATTCCGGAGACTGTTGTATCTTTGACCGAGGCAAAATGCAGTTGGTAATAAGTGTAAACGCAAGACTGATTGTTCCACTTAAATAAGCAATGTGGAATTCACTGTCATTTTACAAATACTGACTGTGTTAACGACTAACTGCCAGTTATAAAAGGCGTCAACTAATTAGAGACATTAATTTTTCTTTTTATGTTATTCATATTTGCTACTCATAAATTCAATTGTAGTCATTGTTGTTGACATTATATTGCGCATTATGAAGTGATATGACAACAATTCATCAGTCGGAAATGGGCCAGAACACAAGTACTTAAGTATCACTTGGCATACTGTATATCATTATCATGTGTAAAAGTAAGAGTAAGTCGTTTTATTCATAGGTTGCTATACCATTGTTGAAATCACACTTTCTGCCCCCATGCCCTCGCAAATACCCATTTGGCGCCAAATGTTTTCAAATACTGAATTGCTGACTCGTAAATTGCATTATATTCTTCTTCTGACACCTGCAACAGTGGTACGACGGCAGGTTTGAACAATTTCCAGATCTCTTGACAGTCTTCTATTCCCTTTGAATACAAAGTTACTATGTAAGGAAACCATTATCTTATATAGTATACATTCTAGTACACAAAATTAATACTTACCATTTCGGCCAGCTTCTCTCCCATAGGTCCAACCGGAAGATGTTTTTCCTTGTAATTAATATTATTATAACGATTATCTTCTTCCAGAAACCCTTTGATCTCATATGCAGCCTCAGAATGTACATCAGTTGCATTCAACAGGTCAATCACTAGGGAAAATGACGAGCAAACGTCAATATGAGCTTTGAACATCTTGAAAGTATTATATTACAAACGCTTCTTCAACTTACCCGCTTTAATTATCAGGTCAACGTCCTTGAAATTGTCCTTGGAATTATACTTTAGCTGTATATTACCCTCCATAAGCTCCACCCATCCAGTTGGCTTGGTAACCCTCGTATACTCGGGAATAGCAATCTCCTTCCATTGACGCCTCGTATATCCCCCACTAAGCAATCTGGCAAACACATAGTCGAATGAATTGTCTTCAAAGGGTAAGCCAGTGAGAACGTTGTGTGTTATAAATTCAACATTATCAGGCTGTTTATTCCTTAGGACTACTGGCGACATGTCTACGCCGACGAAGTGGGAGTTGGGGTATTCCTCGGCCAACTCAAGAATCCAGGTGCCCGAGCCGCATCTTTATTTCGGAAGGAACAATAATCACAGTCACTAATAATGTTCGCGTAAAGCAATGTAACTATTCTTTGCGGCTTGACATAAGCCTTTATTTTTTTCTTAACCAACCTACCCAACATCAAGCACTCTTACACCACTCCTCAAAATTTGGTCGACAGGCGCCGCAAAATTCCCATTAAATCCATGCTTAATGAAAGTATGTTGCAAGTTTAATCTTTCTACTTCTTGTGTATCATTTGATTTGGTATACGTCGAGCTCATTTTAAGTACGATTGATATAATAGATTGTGATATAGAAGGTGGATTAAAAACCAATATCGCGATGAATTTTTTAGTGGATTAGAAACTAATATCGCGATGAATTTTTTTAATTGATTAGAAACCACTATCGCGAGGACCTTTTATAGGTTTACAGCAGCCCAGCAAAAAGGTAACGCATAGCTAATGAACGATTGTGTACTCTCCCTAAATGCACGCCATTTGATGGGACTTATGACCTTAATAATAACAGTCTATAATAATAGTGCTAAATAAGATACTATGATCATGTAGTAAATTAATTAAAGCTATTGTCTACGATGAATCATTACCAGGAAATGTATCACCTTTTTGGCGTTTATACATTAGTCCAGTGGTTAGTTAGACAATGATTATCGTCAATTCAACTAATGGAGATCATAGTCATCCAAGCAAATTATTTGCTGGTGTCAAGTCGTGCTCGAGATCGCCATTGTCTTAACATTGTCTTCTAACATCAGGTCATGTATTAATGCAGATAGATATCAACGGCCATCAGTCGACAGGTCAGCATTGTCTTATGCATTGTCTTTCCGTACATAATCAATGTTACACGGCTAGAATATTTCCTTTTAGGCTACAGTCAACTCTGTCTATACCGGCGCAAGTGGTTTGGCGGGTTTGGCCGTTGTAACGAGAGACCGAAACCGGTATAAAAAGGGGCCGGTATAAGGGAAACCGGTATAAAAAGGGGCCGGTATAAGGCAAAACCGGTATAAAAAGGGCCCATATAGTAATCGACAGAGTTGGCTGTAATACAATCCACGTGGTACAACTTGGGTGATATTTCGATATATTTTTTACGACTATGTCACTCGGCAGTCAATGGACTACATTTGGATATCGTAGGTAAAAAGAACACAGACGCTCAGAGTAAGTTACTATTTTAAGAATGCTCATACATACCACACGATCAAACAACCATAACTGTTATCAGAATGTGGGTAAAACGATAGAGTTACTAAGAATGATTGGAATGATTGAGGAAGTGTGTCAGATGTTCACTATTAGTATTAGTGTATTAGTATGCTATAATAATAATAATAACCACACAAAAATGAGTTCTTATTAGACCGAGTGACATAATCATCGAAATATCACCTAATACTAAGGAAACATTCACTGTGTAACATGTCGGGCAATAACCTGATTATGGAAACCATACCCGAAAATTGTCATAGATAACATCTATTCTATATTAACACATTTTATTGTAAAAAATATATCAAATGATCATTCTAATAATAACGTATTTTTCTCCATGTTCTGGGGTTACTCACTCGCCGTCTATATGTTCCTACGTCATTTACTATCTTGCTACTCCGTTAAGTATCTATTTACTGATCGAATCCCATAACAAAGATATCTTCTTCGCATTGAGACAAAATGACAACGATTTCTTTATCGTTAATGTTATAATTTTAGTGTAACAAAGTTTGTTGTAAGCAAATTAGGTTATTAACAACAATATTTTGTTTATTCTACTAATACTAATACGTAAAATTATTAATGGTTTAGCTCTGAAAATAAATCCATTTGGCAATCTATAGTAGTTTATTCATGAGCTGTAATCATAATACTTAACCAGAAACGGGATCCAAGGTCAACCCCGATAAACCAAAGACGTCATTATCGGGGTTTTCAGATTGGCGGGGTTGTTCTATACGCCGAAGAATATAGTGCAGAATTTAAAAAGGTTCATTCTAACGGGTTTTTCGGCTTAACGGGTTTCGGTTTAACTGTATATCAGTCATGATTGAATTTCATATAATGTCAAATATTTGAATACGCTCGCTCCAGTTTGCTTAAAAGCATCAAGAACTTTTTGCTTATTTCAAATAATATTACTAATAGTTGAATGATCAAGATCGTAAATTTTCGCCAATTCTGTATCACTCTGTGTAATAGTAATTGATTGTCTATATTTACACTTTCCTGTTGATGTCATAATTAACGAAGACGTTCTAATATCAAAGAATCAAATTAACTATCGCGAGGGACTTTTATTCACAACATTCTATGTAAATGTCGTCGAGCTAGCGGGAGCGGTTGCACTAGTCTTGGGATTTAGTCCGTTTCCGACGAAAACCTTTGCTTTTCCTACTTCAAACTAAATATTAATGACAATTAGTGACCTTTAACTAGGTTTGGAACTGAGACAGGTCCTGCACTCAGACACGATCTGTATTTATCGGTCTTGTATACGCTGTCCCTGAATTATTGTTTAACACTTCGATGGGATTAGTCTCGAAGCCTATCAGTCGGGGAAATTATCTTTTCTAACTATTAATATAATTAAACAATAATCCTGAAGTACTAAATAGAATCGATTGGCAAGTATCAATCCTATTCGCCGATGACGGGAAAGCGTTTTACACTTTGCCAACGACGCAAGTATCTTATTACCAGAGAATAACAACGTTTTTGATTAAATATGGCCTTTATTAGAATGAAGGGACTATCCTAATAGCAACGTCTTGCTGAAGATATGTTTTTTAAAGAACTGATTCTATAATGTTTAGCTACTTGCTACGACTCATATTTATAACTAATTATCGTTTCAGGAGGGATAAATAGGGAGATTTCATTGTGTTCGCGTTGTCAAGAATTTTCGATATATTGGAACTGACCAATCAAGAATTTCGCGCTTGATCTGAGATGTTTGTACCCACTGAGCGGAAATACATCACTCGATCCTGACACTATCCACTGCGTTAACATGTTGTCTTTTTTAGCAATTGGTATACCTCAGGGATATAAATTATCATATTCAGTTATAAGGATTTTGGATGTTGTAAGTCAGATCGGAATTTATGTCAGATCAGAATGATAGCATTCTACTTCAGTCTTGTCTAATCACTGTCAAGTTCTTGGACATGTCTCACACTAATACTATGCTATTTATCTAACTGTAAAAGATGAGTGTTTAGTTACATATTTAATATTATAAACCACGATTTCAAATGTCATCTATATTATTAAAGGCACAATGCTGTTGTCGATCTCAAACTAAGCCGTTTACTTACATGTCAGTGTGCTGATGCATCATAGAATATCTAGTTACATGAGCTCATTCACAATAATCAAGCTTAATACACTATAACTATTGATTTTCATAAAATTAAGGATCGAGCAGTTTATAGTGCGAATATTATAGCAGCCGAGTTAATAATATTAATGTTATATTCTATATTATTATTGTTACTGATTCTATTTATTCCGAATGAATATAAATTCTGATCTGACATATGTCCATTCTGAATTGACATGAACTCCGATGCTGACATACAACAGCCTAGAAAACTCGGACGACTACTATAGGATTAGCCATTTTCTAATCCTATGTCAATACCCTTTGCATGTATTCCTATAAGTAATAAACAGTTTTTTATTGTGAGCTAATCACCATAGCATTATCCGCACCAATTCTTGGCGAAAATAAAGACCATTTCCTTACTTACAATATTGTTTGCGACAAACTCAATGATGAGACATCTATGCGAAGATGTATAATTTCTGAAGACGACAACAGAGAATCATCGACACAAGTTGCAAAAGACTGCCAGAAGATGAGCGAGAAAGAAGCCCAACACACATTAATTGAGAGACAACTTGTCAAACAGCCAGTTGCTTAACAGGTATAGACTATCCAACAGATAACAAAAGTCTATTCTGGCTCCTGATCCAATACTTGGACTGATCGGAAGATTGGGGAAAGCAGACATGCAGACGGGCACAGGCAAAAAATACAAGCATACATAGCATTATCAAACATTTACTTTTTTATGGTCGTATGCTAACCCTTGTGGATCACAATTTATCAAGTATGTTTTACGTTATCCTCCCCACCTACAACGTATACACGACCAACAGTCAGCAGATTTTATTTCACTATCCTCAGATATGCAAAAACACTCCTCCCTACTCGATCAATCGTGGATAGGCTTTGTATACCAAATTCGCCTGCTACCGTTAAAATTTGTAAATACGTGGAAAACAGTCATATAAAATAGAAAAAATATCGGCATACGTGTATCATGTAAATAAAAGGCAATCGCCTGGTTATAAAGTAATTATTGAGTAAACGTAGCAGCAAAAAATCAAATTCGAGAGCTATCACGTGAGTGGATGCAAGGATAGGCGAAAGAGGAGAAGAAAAAAAAAGGCTTATACGAATGATTGATCGAAAAAAAAGCAAGCAGAGAATCAATATACAGCAATAAGCAAGGGAATCTAATGAACAATTTAGTTTCACTGATGCTACCGCATATATAAATTAATTACAAAAGCACTTTTTTATTTGCATTCGCGAATGTCTTAGGCGAGAATTAATTTATATTATCAATAATACGTTCAATATAATCAATACTATAATTATTAACATATCATAGCATAATATTATTGCCTCCCTCTAATTTTGATAATGGCGTGCGTGTTTAACAGTATTGTCGCTCTTTCAAAATTCTGCAGTCACACAACATTTGGTCACAACTTTTTTTGCGAAAACAGCGATTATAACGTGAAAACTTTGTGAAAACTTCTGCAAGCCAGTGATTACTAAACCTTTCTAAAGAGTAGAAGACGCCTACTTAATACAACTTTACCTCTTTACTTAGCGCAAGGTAAGAAAAGAAAGCTTGTTGGTTTGTTACACTAGCGATTATAACCGATTATGAGGCGATTATTATGATTCTATTGGCTGAAATTGTTTTCGTTTTCATTTTCGTTTTCAATTTTTTTAATAATGATCATACTATTTTGAAAAGTGCTATAATATTGAATTACCAATATGTGACATTACTTGGGAGCAGTGTAAAATTAAGGCAATGCGTGAGCTGTCATTTCACTTTGTCCTTAATTACGTTAGTATGAACGAATAACAGATTTAATAATTAATAATACTCATGCTAAAGCTCATTTTTGGTAAACCATTCCAGACAAATTCACATTCACAAAGTATTCCTTAAAGTTATATACATTTGCCTAAACATAATATGTAACTTTTTTTACACGATAATACAAAGGGCTGTCTACCGATGACCATGTGACAGTAACAATGGTACCAATATATAACTACCAACAGTTAACCAACTTGCACGTACGCAAAGTATTTCGTTGTTGTCACTCGATTACAATTTGTTCCAGGTTTGACATTCACAACAGGCCGTCAGCCAGTCCATGATTTAGGTTATATTTTCGCGAAATAGGCATCTTCCCTTCATTTTTTGAGCTAGAAAATGTTGTTGTGGACAAAGATAACGATAGGCCTGAAGTTGAACCATAATGATTAAAGATTGGAGGAGAAGGAAGACTAAATTGAGACGTAGTTTGGTGAGTGAATAAGGTAGACGGTTGAATTAAAACAAAATGAGAGGTGGTAGTGATGGAAGAAGAATACTGAGGTACAACTGCGTCAGTCTTTTGAGGAGCAGAGGCAGTCATATTACCTAGATATTGAAGAAATTCAAATAAGTGCCAACATTTCTCTCTTTTATTGTTCGACGTACAACATGTTACTCAGCATACCACCGTGTTGTTGTTTCCACGCACATTCCAGACAACGGCAACAATTTACCATTCTATTGTCGAAAGTTGTTCCCATTCTGTTTTCCAGTATGTCAAATGGCAAACATACTGAATTTATCGGTTCGAAATAATTATTTTGAACAAAAGATTGAGGTGGAGGTAACGCGGACTCGGAAGCTTGTAAAGTCATAGGTTGCGTACGTGGAGCGTATACAGGATTTTTCGAAATTATAAAGTTGTTGGTTGTTGGTTTTTGTACTTGCATCGATATTGTAGCAATAAAAGTCGGCTTTGTTTTTTTGATAGAGACTGCAGTTGTCGCATCATTGACTCGAAAACAAGTTGTCTGCGCATATAGTCTTTCAGCGTCTGAAGAAATATCCCTGTATGCCTTTTTGACGTATTCTGGTTCCTTCCTCCATGAATATGAAATCATGGACGACAAGTCAGTCATTGACAAATGATAGTTATTATTCTTCAAGTGGCGCACATATTCGCTACGATACATAATAAATGCGTTTGGGAAACGAGCCAGTTTCTTGCGTGACAATTTTGTTACGAAAGCGGTTGTGTTGAATTGCGGAGGAAATGGTAGTGGAACAGGTGGAAGTGTATAAGTAGTTTTTTTTATCTCGAGATGCAGACATTGTTGCAATATTTCGTTTCGTTTTATTATTCTCGTCGGAGAGCTTTTTGGACTTTTCATTACGACTCGAGATTTCAATCAATTCACGTCGCGCGAATTAACGGGGCGTTTCATCCCCTGCTTTTTATCTTTGACTATCGGAACACTGATTGGTTTGTAATAATGGCAGGGCTGAATTCATAAAAATGATCAAATTTAGTTGTTTGATAGACGACCCGATAAGCAATATATTAACCATTATATTCAACTATCAATTGCCTCCTTTGATGCTTTTGTGTAATATTCACTGCACTATCGCTTGATACAACTCTCAATAACAGTCGTATTTTTATACTTCTGGAATAGGGTGTCTTTGTTAAAAGATCGGGTATTTGGTAATGGTACGACAGCTAGCTGATGAGATAGATCCAAGCCACGTTGCGGAATATACTCGGTGAATAGAGAGTCAGAGATAATCGTATAATTTAGCGCAGAAGTTGATATCATTCGAAGAGCGACTTTAAAAATACATGCTGCAATGTTTGAAGTAAAAAGAGGGTTCAGTTTGGCACAAATTCTCTCTTCCTATTCCATAATACAAGCATAATTGTTTGTATGCATAGCCTGGAAAAGAAATTTTGTTAAACTGTGATGCTTGTTAACAGACTTTTTATAAGACACAGTACGTGGAAAGGAAGTAACAATCATAAAGATCGTGCTTATATTTCCGTTGTAGCATACATAAATGATCTGCTGACACTCTAGATTATCACGAGAACTAAAAGCGGCGGAACAATGAGTCTGCATATAGTTTAATTGTGAAATACAATATATGGTTATATATGTCCTTCTTTGGAAGAAACCAGTTTTGTTTGTATGTAAAAAATTTGCCACAATAAATAATTCACTTTTTGGTCAAAGCTATCATTTATGCAAGTAAAAAGACCACGTATGAAATTATTTCACCATTATTATTATTATTATTACGCAAGCCTTATTGTGTCACGTTATAATTATGACTGATGTTAGTGTAACAAGTGTAAATCGCAAAAAAGATAAAAAAGAAAAACTACTACTGAAAAAAATATTCCGATCTACGCGACAGATAATCACATGCCGTCTAGTGCAACGAAAAAAGAAGTCACTTGAGCGATTATTCGCTCAAATCCAGTAAATACAAGAATATTCTCCGATTGCTTACACCGAATGTATTTTCGTCCATGTCTTTAATGATTTTTAGTATTCAGTTTCGACGATTAGTACCCAGAAAGTAATAAGGTATTTAAAATATAATATTGGCACAGAAATTATACGTACTCAGTTAAGGTTAGAAAAATTAAAGCTGAGATAATAATCCTGATATTTAGTGGGCATTACTACTATTACAATTTCTCCGGAGAGGATCAAGGCTCAAGCAATGCCCGGAGGAAACGCCATTTTCATCTGTCCCATAATTCCGGCACTCGGACCCTCCTATTTTAAAGAGTTTGGGGGATATGTCTTTAAATATGTTTATGGTTGAATGGCGGAACCGAAAACGCATAAAACATGCAATCTTCTAGGCATAGAAAGTAATCGTTTAATAGTGAGAAGAATATACAGTATACCGCGAGTTTATTGGACCGTATTAAATTCTTTCGCATTGTAAGTTATTAAAATTCATAATTCACCAAACATGCAATACACATGCTACTAGCTCTTTGTACAATTGGTTGGCCAGTCTGTGTGTTTTATTCTAATATATCATTCAAATAAGTCTATATATATTAAAGCGTTAAAAAGTTATGACCACACTTGTGACGTTCCCAAGACTTATTTGTTGCATCTGAAAAGAAATATGAACAGAGACCTTGAATTATGTATTGTCAATTATTAAGTGTTTGCCGCAACTAATCATCAACTGATAACCATTTCCTTGTTTATCACACTTTATAGGGTCTCTTTCCTTTACCGTTAGTGTCCGCCAATCTAAGTAGCCAACAAGAGGTCATTCATTGCCAACAATCGATTCATCTGTCAATCCAACATAGTCATACCTCTTTTTAGTAATCTCGCGTTCCTGTTGCCATATCCAATCTCTAATATTGTCATTCTTCTTCAGTATAACTTTACGTAGTTTATAACTCCCTCTGTTATCAAGAGGTCTGAACCTAAGTACATCGATTCGAGGCGATATGGGTATCGGGGTTTCACTCTCCATATTACGAGCAGCCTCGAGAACATTTACGAGATCATTTGAATAGGTCGTACTGACGAATGTCTATACGAAAAAGGAAATAAATATTAAGGATGGACGTCTAGTATAGCATCAGACGCGTAATGCAATGAATCGAATTTATGTTACCCGTATTTCACTCTCCAAATTGTTAATCAGCGTGTCTCGACTGTTAATCACATAGGCGACCGCAAAATAACACATAAAAGATGGTTCGTCGTTCGACAAAAGATGGTCCCATAATTGGAGAAATCCTTCAGTTTCCAATATACGCGTGAAACCAGTCAACATTGCCGGCCACAAAAAGTCCTGATCGAATTACGTACACGTTAGACGGATAATTGCGTAGTGATCATTGTCGTTAACATAGACGTGGTCATGGACCAGCAATACAAGCCCTCTCTGATATTTCCAGTGTACTCACTGTCTTAAAGTCAATGCCTACTTCCTTGAAATGGTTGAGTAGGCTTGCATCCCAGTGTTCTAACAACGTCTCAGCAACATCGAGCATTCGAGCAGGTGGCCGGGGAAACTTTTCCCAGCAATTTTGATACCAGTTTACTGTGAATAGTTACAATAATGTTAGTACTATTACCGTCAGTACAACTTTTACCATCATAGCATTCGGATAAAAGTGGACTTACGTAAAATAGTTAATATCAGCTCACAGCATACTGTTTCATCTGTTCCAAGCATGAGTTCAACGAAAGGATAAACAATTGTCGATAACCACTCAATTACAACTGTAACGTCGAACCCCCAGTTGACCAGAAACAACAAGCATCTAGAAAATGTAGAGGCGTTAATCATAGAATCATTACAAACCATGGACTTTATAAGTAATCATGAAAAAGATACTCAACCGTTCAAGACGTATATATAGCCTTCTATTTTTTGATCTCAGCTCGGGCCATTTCTGAACAGATAGCCCAACCGTTGATGCTCTCTTCTTGTCAATCAAATTTCTAAATGCCTCTCGATTCTCGGGAACATCCAATAAAGTACGCCATATTTGTAGCCTGGTAAGAGGGATACCGACGTCAAAATGTGGTATGATTTAATAAATAACAGTGATGGTATTACCTATGCTCTGCTGGATATTTTCCATCTTGGTGCAACATTTCAATGATATTGAGCCTTCTTTCTTCTGTTGAGACAAAAGATAGATTCTATGTTGACGAATTTGAATAAATATAGTACGAGAATACCATATCTATAATACGACATGACTATGTGAGTATACAAATTATCTCAACGAACCTGTATCCCCGACGACCCGAATAAAGACGTTGATTTCAATTCTTTACATCCATAATCGAAACATCAGCAATATTTAATATTGTTTGTTCAATATCACAAACATAAATCAAGATTACCATAGTCACTCTCAAACGGAACAGTCTTATGACTATTCTTTTCAACTGCCCATGACGTATATTCATTCGTTGCACACTGATCCCTTTCCTTCTGCAACACCATAGGAGACGACACTTCTTCCAATGAGGGTGACAGAAACTCTTCCATATAATTATCATTCTCAGTGTTCCCAGGAAAACCTGCACGTAAACGTCTGCCTCGGGTGCCAAACCTCGATGGCTGCTCATATGATCGCAGCTTCGTGTTTTTGTGTTGATGAAAGGACCTGGATTTAGATTTCGGTTGGGACGATGAGTGCGAGATAGATTGTATACTTTTTGGCGTTATTATCGCTGAGTTGTTGTTACAGGAAATACTGGGACCAAGAACAGGAGGCGATAATGTTCGGGTACTTTTTGGTACGTAGTTTTCAAAGTTGCTCTGTAACTGTCAGTGAACAAACGTGTGAACATGACACTAACACTGAATAAAATGATTTACACATGTTAACAGACATACTGAATCTGCGATAAGACTGCGGAAGTCCCATATCCGTAAGATCTCTTTCTCTTTAGTGGAATTCGTCACCAAAAATTTACCGTCTGGTGATATTTTAAACGATTTAACCTATTCAACGTCGATACGTTATATGATTATTAGTCATGAATTAATAACTTGCATTACGCGTTCGTAAATAAATGCCAACCGGTTGTTCAACATCAAGTAGATGTATCCCGGACTCGTCATTCTCGAATATGTCAACGAGCAGAAGGTGTCCATTTGATGTTAGTATTACCAACTCCTGTATAAAGATATTGTTATTAGTTGCTTTAAGTTAAATAATTAGTCTATTCCAACGACAGCTTTATATTCTTACAGCACGGTCACAGATCGCTTCTATTTGTTTGATACAGCCATAGGTTCTACGACCAAGATCGACCTCACGCAATAATGATTGCGTATCAATATTCCATACATATAGCATTGTACTTTTTTAAATAAAATGTTAGCATTCCACATTTCACGGATACTCACTAACCCTGCGCGTGTATGTCAACTCCATACGCAAACTTATGTATTATACACATACATTCCACCAACGATCAAAATTTGCTCATTCGTCAGAATCAAGGCAAGATGACATGTCTCATCATATGAACGATCGAATAACAGCGGCTTAATATATCTGGGTCTGCGCTTGGGGATATTCACTTTCCATATGATTTCGAACGAGTGGCCATCCCATACACAGACGCTCTCGTCGTAAAATATGGTAGTTATAAATGTCCCCGACGATGAAAATGCTACCTATTAGAGATTGTATTATAGTCACAAATTACCCAAACGTAGCGTGACATTAACCTAAACGAGCATGTTCATACTTACGTGTCGCAATCCGCCATTCACTGCCTCACCATTTAATACTTTCAACTTTGACCAGTCAGACATATTCCACAAGATGGCTTCAGACCGTGAGCTGGTAATAACCACGTGTTCATCAGGATGCATTGAAATGCAATCAACTGGATGGCGATGGCTGCTTGTTTCAGCAATCAGTTGGTTCGTCTCTAATCAGCAGAAACTAAACGTTACCAATGCAAAAACTTTCCTGGCAATAATTGTATGACATACGATATTATACATACCAATGTCGTAACATCTTAAAGTATTATCTGTAAACGCGACAACCAATTCATCTTTTGATAAAGATGTGAAGGCCATTGCCGATGGAGGAATCCCAAATCGTGCAACCCGCCAAAACCTATGTAACATCGCATATAACATATAGTCTCCATGAAAATATCCTGGAATGGAATCAGCATCATATTAAATAAAACGTTCATACTTGTTGGCACCAAAGTCAAAAACGAAAATCGATCCTCTTTGGTCGGCAGCAGCCATCACTACAGTCCTCTTCAACGTTTCCTGAAGCAACTTTACACCATAGGAACCATAGGATTGATTCTCTATCTTTTGGCACAATGGCGCAAAGCAGTAGCAAGCAAACAGCACAGGCCGGTAACAACTTTCTACGACATCATTATTAGATTTATGAGCATTGATGATAGATAGCAGTCTACATGAAAGAATTGGATAAATGACGCGTCCTTATTAAGTACGATTATATCCACCTTGCAATAATACAACAATTACTAATAAAATTAATCTGTTTCCAAGAAGTACGTTATCCAAAAAGCCATATTTCTAAGTCAATTATTTATAGTACGTAACATACGCTTCAATGTCCGCGTCCTCTTCTAGCGCCATGTCCTTGCTACAACCAGCATTGAACAATACCGAATCTATATCCCTCTCGGCACGTTTTGTATCTTTTGTCGAGTCCCAAATATCGCCGCTTCTCAACCCTCCAACAAAAACAGAGTTATTATTATCAAATGACATGTTTTAAAGTTCGAGCACTATTCGTATTAGTATTAGTATATTATATTATACATTCGAATGTTACACAGCCAGGGATCGCGTCCATTGTGGCTTAGCTATTTTTGAATGAGGCGCATACTTTTGAATGACGTGACCCAGCAACAGAATAAGAAGTGGATTTTTTTTATGCGTTGATAGTGATTATATTAATGGCTGTAATCTAATCGATTGTTATTATTATTATATCGTGAAAATGATTACAGTCCCTCACTTTGCACACTCTTATATGCTCACGTTGATATTTTTTGCTTGGAGAAATGCAATCAAAATAGAAATGACACGACAGTTTGTATAATACTCGTATTATACATAATAAATTATAGAAAAAGGGGATATAACTGAGGTATGATGTGGGAATTTGGGACGACAAAAATAAGGGGTATGACTATACTTGTGTTACCTAACCCCAAATTCTTAGTATCAGCTCGTATTGCACAAACTCATCTGCTGTAGAGAATTTCCCATGGCTTTGCTTTAAGAATCGACCTGTTCAGACGCAGATATCGCTCGGCCAAAAAACCTATGTTATAAATACTATTAGTGGTTTTTGCGGCGTCATTGCTAATCGGTTTAGATTTTGTTAACATGATTTTTCTTTGCACTTAAAAAAGGTAGAAAGCGAAAATATGATGGTAAACTGTTTAAGTGACTTGAAGAAAAAAGGGGTAATAGTAAGACCACTGAACTTTCTGTGACGTCATGTTCCCTTGTCTGGTTTGTTGCAGCATGCCCCATATTAATATGTCCGATATTGTATAAGTCACTCTTGGATTGCTAAGTATTAGTATTAGTATTTGCGTCTACGGATTATCTCCGATACAGGGAATACAAACTTTGCTATTTTTCCAATAAAATATAACTTTATCCGGGATCGGAGAACTAGTCTATTTAATAATATCAAAAAATTGCTTTATAAATTTCTAATGTTTCACAGCGATATTATATAGTAGTTGTTTACCAAATAATTTAATATTAATAATAGTTTCTAAAAGCGGCGAATTCTTATGTCGATACACAATCTGTGTCGTTGCCTTGTGTTACTGCGGTGGCGCAAAAACCAGCATCCATATCTTAATTCTGACAGAATAATTCATGTTGTATTAATGCACATGAGTGTAGCGATACTAATACGTTCTTAGGTAGACTTTGGTATGAGGTTGTATCAACATACTGTACATTTGCCCGCGCAACAAAGATTCACATGCCGATCATTACTATCAACAACATTTGGACCCCCTGCGCGGGGCATGTCCCATGACTACACTCCCAGTTTGCGGCTAAGTTGTTCATTGTTTACGATGGCGATGATAAGATAACGGTATTGTTATGGATTGCAGTTAAGGTTAAGATCACCCGTGTCACATTTGGAGAACGTGTCAACCTACAAACGCGTCAAGTTTGAGTTAACTGTAAGAGTATAAACACCCGTAAATATATGTATTCAATAAGATCTGCAAAAGTAATAAAAGCAAAGCCATCAAGGCAAGGCTTTCTTATTTCTGAACTATAACCATGTCCGATGATACACCGATAGTTGTCCTTTTCAATGCCTTATACACGGCCCAGAAATTCAAAAAAGCCAAGACATGGCAGGACGGTTTGTATCATGAAATGATAAATAGCAGACGCAAATAAAAAAGACCGCTAAACTGTATTATATTTACAGGATATCTCAAATACCTTTCGGCTTATTCAAAGGTTTGCTTAATAAACACATTATTGCCTTGCATGGCTGAACGACGAATAACATTCTTTCTTATTTTGAGTCATAGTTAATCTTGTACGATGATACAAAAATAAGAAAACTCGATAGGTATGATTTGAAGAAAGCGTATTTCGTGGTCTAATTGCACATCCAATCATTTTTCTAATGTTCGAATTCCGTCTTGTAGTTATTTTGTTAAGAAAATGCCCGAAGCTGGGGATGAAATAGAATTCGACAGACATCTAGTCTCTATTGAATCCTTTATCGAAAAGAAGTTGGATGCAGCAGCGATAAATGTGAAAAAGTCCCGCGAAACGTTAACACGTAATCCAAGGTCGCGAACTATTTGTTACGCTTCAATTGATATTCCAATTCCTACTGGGCCAAATTCTTTGTTGAAAAACCGTTTGGGAAGACGAAGATTTCCAAACAAATCTTGGAGGGCCCCCCAACTTTGTGAATCTCATGTTGAACCGATGGTCATTGGTAGGATCCAGATAATTTTGATTACTTGGAAAATATTCAAATACTCATCACCATTCAACATTAGACAGCACTGACAGCACTCTGCCATCAAGTGCGACTGAACCAACCGCTGATCAATCACCCACGCTAGTTGATCTGACTGCACTTGGTCAACCGCCGAAACCAAGCAACTCTGACACACGCAAACATGTAAACGTTGCGACAACTATGGTACATACCTGTTATATGTATATATTTTGTTATAATACAATTGTAATTGCTACCCTCAAATTTGTCTCGGCATATTCATTTATCGTAGCCGAGCACTCCGCCACCTGAACCAACCGCTGATCAATCGCCCACTGCATTTGGTCAACCGCCGAAACAAAGCAACTCTGAACATGTAAACGTTATGGTACATACGTGTTATATGCATACATTTTGTTATAATACAATTGTAATTGCATCCTCAAATTTGTCGACTTTATTGTACCCACTTATCGTAGCCGAGAATAAAGCGACGAAGAGTTGGTCTAAGCAGGGCATCTAAGGCGTTGTTGACATCAGTCTTAGAAAACCAGCCGAATTTAAAAAAGCAAGAATCTAATCCTGACACACCGGACGAAGCCAAGGATGCTGTACATAAACCGTTGGAGAGCGATATTAAGCCTAAAGAAGTGCGACGTGAGACCATTCAAACGACCTTCAAGTGAGTATGGTCTTGTATCGTTATCGAGTTGGTTACGTGTACTAATAAGCCGTACATACTACAGAGTTAAGACTTTCGATCAGCCAGTAGAATTTCCAAGTGAATCAAACTGTGAAAAGATTGTGAAGGAAAGAAGTCGCTTATTTCGGCATACCATTATTCCTGAGCGATTTGTACGTATAGAACTCCAAGTCTATTTCCATTATTTCTTTCAACGTGTCAAGAATGATCGATCAAAATATTGTCTGCTGTTTATCTAGACGTCGGTCACATGTTATAAAGGATCTATGTTGGCCATGCTCTATGAGCATTTGAATGTAAGATTAGGATATAGAGAACGTTAATAAATCAATAAACAACAAATACTGATATTATTTTTGTAGGTAACTCTGGTGCATATTGCAGTTGATTTCTACGCGAAGAATGCGATAAGATTAAGGAATCCTCAGACTGGTGATATGGAGGTTTTCTTTCGTAACCAGGGATTGTTTCTACATACGGGATGCACAATCAGGCATGTCTATTTATTGAATTTCCTTAATGTCAAACGAACTCATTGTTGACCAAATTATCCCAACGATAGCCCAATACTAGTAACGAATACATCGTTCTACGACTTTTCTTCTAAAAAGTCAAAACGCAACGATGAATTCAATCAATCGATATCAATCGATCAAGGGGACGTCTACTTTGCTTTACATTTGCCGAACAAAAGCCATAGTTCTGCTTACAGTAAGGATGATATATGGGTCGTATCCGACTCTGTAAAATTCGACCCAGTATCAACATTCATTGGGCGTAGTACATTCTACGGACCAACGAGTAGTGGACGGGTTGAATTGAAATGTCTGAACGCTCGCGATGCCTTTGTTGCCAAGAATGTGTTGGCCAATAGTGAAAGCAAAAATTTGTACGCTATCCGCGCCATAAATGGATGTTCGGAATTGATGATGATAGGTAACATGTAAAATTGAGAATTAGAATTATCAGCATTTGCTTACCAAAATTAGTTTCGACATCTAAAAACTTGCTGTATATTCATAGATAATCTTAATGATAACTTGGAAAGTCTACCATTACTGCCAGTATTACTCGACTATAAATCCCCCAAGGAAAGGTTTTATCAGCATGATGGACGTATCATTATTAATGATGCCAGTATTGATGTAGTAGCCCTCTTAGACGAGGTTACGGAAGAGTTTAGTTTAAACTACGATCAAGAAAAAGTACTAAGGACATTTGCTGTGATGACAATCTCAGCACCTGGGTTATCATCAGAAGACAATGAGAATGATACGCCTGTCATATTGGTTCATGGTGTATTTGGTTCTGGTAAAAGGTATGCTCAGCAAATATTAGAAGAAATTATCTGTATTATGGCGCGCACGTACATTCCCATGTATGTTTGTACTTATAGAGTTTTGTTATTTATATTCTAGTCGTCTTATCGCAGTGTTGATAATATTCATCAAACGCGTTATAACGCGTCTTGGTGAAGACTTATCTTATAAAATTCTCGTCTCTTCTATGACGAATGTTGCCGTAGACCGCATCCTCCTAGAATTATTGAAGATGGGTTTCAACGATATTGTGCGATGTGGGAGCCTCAAGAAGATTGCAAAGCCAATTCTACCATATACTGCTCAAACAATGACCAATAGTGATGATAAAATCAAAGAGCTCAAATCTATGTTACAGGACGACATTTCTCCTTCTGAAGCAGAATTCGTAAAAGATACGATTGAGAAGTTTAAACGGATGGAAAACAGAGAACTGATATCTAAAGCCCTGGTAGTTGGTACGACGTGTGCAGCTTCCGCTTTGGAAATACTTGATAATATACGTTTTCCTTTGATAATATTGGATGAAGCATCGCAAATTTCTGAGCCATTGGCCCTAGTACCGATGTGTCGGGCTGAATGTCAGAAACTCGTCTTGGTTGGGGATCCGCTACAACTTCCACCCGTGTTGACAACTAATTCCGATAAAGCGAGCTTACGGAAGGGTTTAGATAGGACCCTATTTGATAGGTCTATTGAGATGGGAATGAAGGTATATAGGGAACTCTTTCATTAGTAAAATGTATTAGGATGTAGAGCCCGCTGATGTCTATGTGGGTTCGTTCGCTCTTGTTATATTATATGACTAACTTGATTGCACGTTATAGCCAATTATGCTGCGCACTCAATACCGTGTGAGTATGATTCCTGTTACGATTTATCGTTATGTTGTTGGTTGACTAATATGTATTTATTACAAAATAGTGCCACCCTAGAATATCAGCGATTAGCAATGACTTGTATTATAATAATCGGTTACTTAATGGTGCTTCTGTGGAGAAATTGAAACCACTCGTGACAGGACTTCCAACACTGTGTATGATAGATGTAAAAGGAGAGGTAATATTGAGGAGAATGTTTTTTGGTTTTATTTTTTTGCTGCGTATATCTAATTGCGTTATATAAAGGAACGACTGCATCTACGGACTAAATCTCTCTGGAATGAACGAGAAGTAAATCTGATTCTTCGGACGCTGGATCGACTATTTGAACTGGGTATCAAAGGGGATGATATTGGCATCATTGCTTTATGTAAATATATCGTGTATTGAGATGTTGACCCAGAAATTATAGGCATTAATTCTAATTGAAATTACAGACAAACAACAGGTTTACCGTCTACAAGAGAAGCTTAACATGCAAGAATGCAAAAGACCAGCAGTCAAGGTAACGATGGCAATTGTTTATGGCCACATACGTATTACTATTCAGGATCCACACTGACTTTGCTGTTTTAGATTTCCACGGTAGATGCTTTCCAAGTAAGTTGTGCCGCGACAACAGCTGTTGCCTGCCATAATACAATATATAACGCATACTTTACATATTCACAGGGTGCCGAGCGCGACATCATCATACTTTCATGTGTGAGAACAAAAACCATCGGTTTCAGCGATTCGAATGAGCGTATAAACGTGGCGTTGACACGGGCGCGTAGACATCTGCTGATCGTCGGTCATGCTCAATTTCTAAAGAGTGCACCTTGTTGGAATCGTATAATATCTGAGCATTGCATGAGTAAGTCATTTAGCATGTAAAAGCTAGGTGTGTATGTAAACATGTACTGATTGTGCGTTATTAATTGAACAGAATCACCGGATGGATTCTTTGACGTTATCGCATTCAGTCGCCTTATACAAACGCTAAGTCTAAATTCCGACATGACTGGCGCAGACGATCAGAAAGATGAAGATAATTTTCTAGATTGGGCTATGAAACTCAATCAACAATATAGAACAAATACGAGCAATTTGGATACGTCCATAAATGCAAAGACTAACAACACATTAAATTCTAGCAATAATATCAGGACGCCTGAATGTCGAACAGCGGATTTAATCGTTGATAACAGTCAGGTAGAGTCAGTGTTACCCGTGATCGATTATAAAGTAGATGACGGTTACGCATTTGACTTTGATTTGGCAGAGTTAGATTGTCTAGAGGATGAAATTTAGTATATCCTTGAATAAGATACGGCACGGCACAATGTCATAAAAGAAAAAAAAAAAGACTTATACAATAAACGTTAAATATTTGTGGAAAACTAACATCATTAGGCACATTAGTGAACGTCTTCCACAAAGCTGCAGCATTTTCGAACTCTTTGCCAACTGTTATGATGCTCTCGAGATTCTTATTCAGCAAGCCAATATTTGTAATAACTTGCTCTAATCCCTATGCATATATTAACATAACTTGATCAATGGCTGGAGTGCAAAGACTTTAGTCACATAATTTTCAATACCTGGGCAATGCTATTGATTAGATTATCGCGTTCCTTTTGGAATGACTTGCGTTCGTTGGAATCCATGTTTACTGACAAACAAGGGCGTAAGCCGTAACAGACGCGTTCAGATGTTTATGTAAGATCAAAATTGTTTAATATTATTGGCCAAGAATTGTGTAACATGTCATGTGGCACAAGTTTTTACTTGATCTTTCAATGCGTATGTCGAGGATTATTTCGCCCGCGTATCTTCTTTGGAATGCCATCGCAATAACATCTTTATTCATAGTATAACCTGAAGAATTAAGGCTCTATGATCAGAGTTAAAGGTATGCATATGATATGATAAAAGACTATTTATAGTCCCTTCGTCTACAGTATAAAACTTAGTTTATATATAGTCGTACACCCTGCCAATTTCAATAATAAAAAAATAAGGAATTAACCTTGTCTATAGTCACCATTGCTATTCTTTTTTTAAAATTTCATATGTGCCAAAAGGGTGTGACTACAGATAGGATGACTGTACTTAATACTGTATTATTTTACTGTATATCGATGGAATTGGCCGAACTAAATATTTAATTTCGATAAACCCATCTATAAGAAAATATTAAGTATATATAAGTAATTCAAACTTCATAATATTTGGTTTCTGATTGCAATACTTACTGAAAGATATACTCGTGCACGGTCCTTTGGTATAGTTTTTAATAATTTGTTTTTTTCCATGACCTGGCCCTTACCAGTTGTCCTGATCGCTTTGTACAATCCATCAAATTTGTATCCGGAGTAGTTTGTTCAATCTTTAGTTAAACAGCAAAGATTAGTAAGCTTAATAATTCAAAACTTCGAATTTTAAAATTGATATTTACCATGCAACATCTAGTTCGTCTTGGCAATTGCATTATTGTTGGCCGGGACAGTATTTCTTATAGAAGAGTTTCCGCCTCTAAACTGATTGGCATTAATAGCACGCAATGCATTATTGTTAGCCAATCCATTGATAGCGCCAAGATTCGCAAGACCCGTATTATCACTAATATTCTGCAATTCCCAATTTTTACCTTTAATCTCATTTTCATACCAATCCTTAGCATAGTCTTCTAAACAAACTTCAAATAGTCCATCAATGCGAATTCGATTTTTTGATGCCCTGCATTTGGATTGTGATTGGGAGAAGCCTCACACCATTGTCGTAAATCTCTTATAAACACTGCCGGATCTTCACCAGCTAAACCGCGAAATTTTGGGTGCTATTCTGCCATGCCTGTATTCTGATTATTATTTTGATGCGGGTTATTATTCTGTAAATCTAAAATTCTTTGATTTAAAAAATTTGCGTGCGCTGTCTCTGTGCTCTTACTCGGCGCTTCTTCCTGAATATAATTTTGTGTTCGTGTCTGGTCCTCTCGTTGAGTCCGCTTTTTGGCTTGTTGTCCATCAAGCTCCGGCTGTTCTTGTATTATTCTGAATTCCGTGAGTTGCCGAGGGTGATGGAAGAAGACGAGAAACAGATTCGTGATAGCGCATGACTTTTCCGACCATGCGCATAAAGTAGTAACAAAGTCTCTTTATCCTATCAAATTATCAGACTTTGTTGCTCTTAACTTGCGAGCTCTCGCAGATTAATTCGCTCTTCCACATCTTTTGTCATGAAAAATATTTCTCGTGGCTTGCAAAGTATTAAACCCACCCACAAATTCATCGCACTTATAACCGATTCAGGGATACCGCATTTCATATTCTCCCGCGGTTCCAAAAAAACACATTCTTTTGCCTACGCCCCAAATTTTTTATCAAGCCCTAAGAACCATATTCGCTTCGGGATCTCGCCACGTAAGTTCTGACGGATTTATATTTTCGAGAGCTTGCCTAAGCGAACCGTAAAGATTCACATCAATTTTCGATCCGGGATGCTAGGTATTCAAGTTCATTAACTTTTGGACAAAAAATAACTTACTTTGATGAAATATCTGAGACGTACCTCGAGCTTGTATTTTAACTTATTAATATTCGCCACAATCTCCTCATGGCTATAATTTGGGGGCAACTCCCTCTCTATATTTAATGCCTTGAATGCTTTCAGATCTTTAATGCTGATATAACCACTTGAAATCTATGGCAAATGCAATAATAATTAGTACCGGTACAAGCCAATCTCGCATTATAATTTATTTATATACTACGCCCGCACATGTGCATTTTCAGAATTTAAAAATATCATTGCTTTGGCTGGATAGTCACGCACAGTTAAGGAGGAGCAAACTCTCGACATCTAGAAGATATCGCTTTTCCGAGCTGGCACTCCCCAACCTACAGCTATGACATACCAAAACTAACACATTTACCATAGAATTACTAAAGGCTTGGGTGATAAATTATAATTTATACTAACTTGAGTTGATAATTCCAAAATCTTAGTTTTTCGATCGATTTCTTCTATTTTCAATAGGGACGAGTTTACTGCACGATCTACAATCTCTTACGTACTCAAGAGAAGGTAAAATATTGTTTTCAATCACCAGGTAAACTGCAGAGCACCGCAAAGAGAGTCTAGGGATTCTTCTAATAAAAATGCTTCAATCTTTGATATTAAATGTGCCATGTCGATACGTGTTCGGTTAAGCGCAAAAGTATCGTTATTGTTTGAAAACGAAATCACAAGTAAAGGAAAAAGCAATAACGTAAATATAAACAAATATCTGTGTTACGCTAGCGATTTTTTCCGGAACCGGCAGCCTCCGAACTTGATTTTCACTAACTCGGAATTTTTTCCGTATCGATAATGCATAAATCATATTCACGATCGGATTACACGCTTTATTGGCACTTCTACAGAATGAATGGAGTGCAATGCGTTTAAAATTCTGCATACGATATCACAACAGTGACATCAGATGCCGTAATCTTACGAACGTGAAAGTTTGGCTAAAACATAATCAATATCATCCTGATAAATACGTACGTACTAGATATAGTTACTGCTGTAAAAGTCTGAATTCGCTTGATCTTATCAACCCTGATCTCACTAAGTGAATCATAAATCTTTTGGGCTCGCTCTTTTGTTTTTCGAAGCAAGCTTTGGCTAACCGATGGAAGTTGAACTCTAACCTCATCATTAATATTAACTAACACGTATAGGATTGTTTGTTCTGTAGTGATTGAATCATTCCTCGAGTGCTTTCCCAAAATAGAAACATCGACGAATAACTTCTTGCATCGTTTTTTACTACATACAATATGTAGTTTCTTTGGCATTGATTACAAAGCTAGAAAATTGATAAAGGTTACAATGCAGTATTTACTCACGCCTTATTACTCTCCAACAACACTTGAAATTTCAGAAATGGGGCAGTTTACTAACTTATTCATACGATTACTAATCTTACTACATTCATAATACACTCATTGGAATGTCTGCTCTATGCTTTTCCTTGTTACTGTAATATGTTTTTTATAAAGTTTAACAAGAAAAATTGTTTTCAATTATAAATGCACGTCTGCTTTTCATTGATTATTAATAAAATCAACTAAAAGACTATTTAGAATCGCATCCCACGTTTCAAATTCTTTTTGATAAATTTCAAGTTGGAATATCTGAATCGAATGAAAACGGGACCAAGTGCTGCGTTGCATTTATGGGGAGGTTTTGCATTTATGGAGGGTTTCCATATTAGGAAAGACATTTTAACGATTTATAGATTTTTCTTTATTAAAACTTTCCAGCTAACTTTACGTAAAAGTTTGACAATAAATATCTCTAATTGTTAACTAAGAATTGTGTTATGCTACTTTGTTTTATCGAATTTACCCTTTTTTTTCGCGAATGAATTTCTCCAAACTATTAACAGGACTTTCCTCACTATCATCTATGTCGTCTGCATCTGTAATTGCTTGATCAGTATCCTTAAAGAGATATACAAGTTCGTGGTCGTTGTCGGGAACTTCGTGAATAATATTCTCTTCAGCAACTATTTACGACAATTATTTATCGTTATTGTATTATTGTGGCGTTTATGTCATTTTCGCTCAATTTGGAAAATGTGATTACTATTTTAGTAAATATCTTAATGTATTTACAGTTTTATAAGCACGAGTATATTTACTAGTACTAATATATGAGACTCAAAATCGCTTGCACGTGTAGAACATGGAGGGTGTGCACTTATGGAGGGTGCACTTATAGAGGTGTCTCTGACAGCGAATAAGTGTTATATATAAATATTAATATGCGTTGTTATTATTATGCTGACAATGAAAGAAATCTTTATCAACTTCTAAGTAAATCATGATGCAGACGTTATCCGTCCTTCATCCTTATGTATGGTATGAAAATGTTTGTGATAGAGGAACAGAAACACTATTTAACGTCTTTGTTAATAGTGAAAAGTTGCCTTTGTCATCATTAATACAAAGACTTGAATTAACTGAAATCGTTATTAACTTTGAGTGTCATCGTTTACCAACATCGATGCGAATTTTATTGAAAATTTAAAACGTCTTTGTTTAAATGGATTTAAGTCATTTTTAATAAAGATTATCTTTGTCGTCATTAACGCTGTTAACTAAAATCTTTATCGAATTTGTAATAGAGTCACGGTTTCGCGACATCAATGTTAAACGGATACAACACTTGTCAAAAACATATAAGTTGATACGATGCATGTTAGAACATCCTCAAAGTAAACTCATCTTATTAGTCACTACTCAAGTCCCAACTACACAAATATTAAAATCCATTTTCAATAATACACAATATTGAATATCTCTACACACGAACAAAATGCCAAAAACTAGAGTGATTCTCAAAAGCATGAACTCTGTTTATATGCTCGTCAAAACGATAAATTAACCAGGAAAGAATATACCAATTAATGCATTAGATCGTTATATTAGTTTAAAATCTACAAACGATAATAGAGAGTTTTTTAATCAGCAGAATATTTACTTTATCGATTAAATAAATATCTGTTCAGTCACGTGCAACCAATAAAATGCTGACTCTCTATACATGCATCCCTCCATATAAGCACGCTCTGATCCATTCCCAAGGCCGTGCTTATATAGAGGGTTCACTCAGCACTAAATTAAGCGTCAATAGTTTGTTGACGCTTCGACATTTTTTTGAAATTATTTTATTTTCGACTTACAGCGATATTTAAATCAATAAATACAACAATTTTCAATGACGTTATTAAGTGTTGGTATCCATTCAGAATTCAATGAAATAGAGTGATGGAGCTCGTACTCCATTGGCTCCATTGACTCAACTGTGGTACAGCAGCCTTTTTAGGATAACCAAATAATAATAATGACCAATAAAATGTCAAAGCGTCATCTCATCTCACGTTTTAATATCACGTGTTTTATTTTGTGAGTTGGACTGGAGTACAATGTGTCAAGTTTATACCCAAATACAGTGGACTCTCCCTAAGTGTAGCTTCTCTAAGTACATTATCTCTCTAAATGCAGGAAATAATCTGGTCTCATGTTGGGACCTATTCTATAAGTGCAGGTTCTCCCTATTCTATAAGTGCATGACATTTGGCCTCTTATATGTAAAAATGTTCTCTAAGTGCATGATTCAATAAACAGTCAATCAAATCTATAGATCATTTCCGTTTAAGTACTGCATTATTACTCTTCAATCTTTAGAGAATGTCTACAAAAATTAAAAGAACCACATTAACAACAAGCAAAAATTGCTTGTTCTCAAGTACAAAGAC